ATATATATATATATATATATATATATATATGAGAGAAAATACGCGCAAAGAGAAAGTAGAACTTCTTCCGCAAGAAAATCTGATTAAAACTCCGCGCGAGTATCAACAGATCGTATCAACTTCGAAATATATTTCTTTATCGCCGTCTTTTTCGTGCGACTTCTCATTTCGATACTCGCCGTGCGCGACCGGTATTCTCTCTCTTTCTCTTTCTCTCTCCCTCTCTGTCTCTTTCCTCTTCCAACCTGATAAGAATCCGCGACACGAGTTTTTCCGAGTGCGGACTCGCTCGTTCGGAAAAATTCCGAAAGAAAACAAATCCGAACGTGTAATTCGAGCACGTGTGTACGCGCGCACGTACGTGTAAACATGTACGCGGGCGGAGCGGAATGTCGAGTAAACCCTCTGCGAAATCCTTGGAGAGCATGGGGGCCGTTATCAGCGCGCGGATAACCTCTCCTCTAGCACGGTCTTCGATCGTGCGAGCGAGGGCGAGATTGTGGAAAAAAGAGCGGCGCGGCGTAGGTCGTCTCCGTAGGGGGATGCTTCTTCTTTCCGGAAGAGAAAAAGCGGAGTGACCGTGTCTCGGAAAATACACACACATACGCCCACATTCGTAGGTGACGGTTGAAGAGACGGAAGGAGAGGAAAGGAGGAGATGCACTCGAAAGTACAGATTCTCTATTCACTTTTCTCATTAAGCAGATCTCAAGGGGAGAAGGCGAACTCTCTCGCGCGCGCGCGCGCGCGCGGGATATAGAACTTGGAACTCGATAAGCTCGATGAACAAGTCGCGTCGTCTTCCTTTCTGTTTCTTTCGCATCCGCGTTCGGTTAATCTTTCTTCAAAAGTTCGCGCGCACATTCGCATCTCCCTATCTTTCTCATAACGCGTACGCTTTCAAACAGGCGTGCTTTCATTTTTCTCTCTGATATTAAACACGTCTCGTCACCCGTCGTGCAGCACCCGGTGGATTAAATAAATAAAGAAATGAACGTATTAATATATATACGCGCGCATTGTACAACGCACTCAGTGAGAAATCAACAAACACCTATATCTATACGTATATCCATAAATTTTTCCTCAATCAATTTTCCCGCTCATTCACACGATGTCATCGAGAATTGATAATTCCCCCGTTGATCTATTTTGCTCGCATGCGCGCAAAACGAAATCGCGTACAACAATTGAACGCGAAAATAATATGTTTCTCGCGCTTTCCAGCATTTATTAATTTATAAAATGATAATACACACACACAGACGCGCAAATAGTTTATTTATATTTGAATTTATTAATACAATTGTAAATACACGTAACGTGCATTACGTCCCGTTTTATATATTAATATAAAATATATCGAGAGCAATAATTTTCCACGCGAGTCAAATACAATACAGCGCGCGATGGAAATTGCTCTTCGACATAGTCCCCCTCGCGCGCGCGCGCTCTGTGATTCCCGAATAATATAATTATTAAACGTATTTCGGAATTCGCGCGTTTCTACACTTTGTGAAATATCGCCGATATTTCAAGATCGCTTTCAATTGACTTCTTTTCTCCGATGGTGGTGGCGGCGGCGGTGGCGGCGGTGGTGGTCGCGCGCGCGATTTTTCGTTTCATGCCTCTCACACACGTTCACTGTCCGCGCAAAATTCCTCCAGCGAGCTTTGTGGTGAGCGCGAACCAAACGCCGATATCGATTTCAGTTTTACGCGGGGAGCACAGACGTGCGCGCGCGCGCGCGCCAAACCAAGCCGGCGTGAACC